GGGGGCGCCGCCGCTGAGGGGGCACTTGGTGGTCGCGGGGCGGGCCGCGCGCGGGGCCCCGGGGTGAGGGGTGGGCGAGGTCCCGCGCGCCTAGGCGCGGGTCGCAGCCCCGGCGCTAGGCGCAGTGGCCGTACTTTGCCCACCGGGCGCGGGCAGGGGGCGCGTGGCTTCTGCAGCCCCGACGGCTCCTTTTGTCCGCCCGCGGCATGAAGAGTGCGTGCCGGGGCTTTGTTCGGGCGGGAGCGCTTTCCCTTCCCTGCCTTCGGTCTCGCCGCCGGCCCCTAGCTCTCTGGGGCACCGCGCTGAGCAGGGACGGCGGCGCCAGTTTGGCCCTAGGCTTAGGGACAATTGTTTTGGGGGGAGGTGGTGAGGGTGGTGCTTTGCTGCCCCCTCCAGAGCTCGCTGAGCACCCAGAGTTCAGGGCTAAGTCCCCCGGACCCCCAAAGCTGGGGAGAGGGTGGCGAGGAGTGGGTATAGAAAAGGAGGGTGGCTGTGGGGTCGGGTGGCTTGTGAGTTTGAGAGACCTAGATGGGTTTACTTCTAATGCCACTTAGGAGTTCAAGTTTGGGGGTACTGTCCAGCTCCTACAGTTTGAGGAAACGCGTTCCCTGTATTCACCCCCTAACTATTCAGACCCCGCCACCCCAGGCAGGGCCGAGCTGCCTACCTCGGGTCGGGGCCACAATGGGACATCGGGGATAGGGCTCAAAGCTGGCTGGCAGGGTCCGAGAGCAAGAGCCCGAGTGATCTGACGCCTTCCCTCTCTCTTCCTCCCCTGCCCACTTTCCAGATTAGCTTTATATGTCTACGAATATTTACTGCACGTAGGAGCACAGAAATCTGCACAGACCTTCTTGTCGGAGGTGAGTGGAACTCCCCCCAGCATCCAATTTCTTGACACACCTCCCTCCCCACTATTCTTAGAGCCTTTGTTTTCAGGAGCAGCCACTGTGGCCACCATTTTGAATTTTTATCACCTTTTGGCATTTATTGTTAGTTGGTCTTCACAGCCTTTTAGCTCCGGGAAGCCCCCAGCCCACCCCTCTTCTCTTCTCCTCTAAGCTGCTTCTGCTCTCTCCTTTACAGATTCGATGGGAAAAAAACATCACATTGGGAGAACCGCCAGGGTTTTTGCACTCGTGGTGGTGGTAAGTTTGTGTGATAGTTTTGTGTGTGTGTGTTTCGTTCTGAGCCCTGAGTCTCAGGGAACAAAGACAGAAGGCTTGGAGCTTGCCCCCCACCCCTTAATCCTCCGCTTTGCACAGCCCAGGATTCTCAGACCAGGATTGGTGAAGGAGGAAAAAGGATAGAAGAGGCTGGTGCCTAAAGTTTTGGTCTTCTCTCCTTTGCTGTCTGACTGAAAACTGACTACATTGTGCCTCGTGTTTGGGAGAAACTCCTTACTTTTTCGTCTCACTCTGGCCCACTAGGCAGGGGGCTTGAAAAAACCTTGAAGGATTTTTGTCAATTTTGCATGCTGCTTTAATTAGAGAGGGTGGGGTGGGGTGGATACCAGGTCTGTTTTATAACTGGCCTGTCCCTTTTTTTTTCTTCTGTGAGCTCACAACCTTAAGAGAGAGAATGTCCTGGGGACCTTTTCCAAGCACCCTGAGGAAAAGCAAGAAGGGGCTGCCACTTCCTTTAAAGATTCTGATTCAGACTGACTGGACCTTCCTTTCCCGTGAGCCCTTCTTCCCCTCCCCTGCCGCAAAGCATCACTGAAACCACAAAGCTTCATTTTACCGAGAGCCTTAACTGGTCAGAGTAGACCTTGCAGAGTGCCTGTAGTTTGTAGTTAGGGGCACTTTCTTCATTTGTGACTCTGATCAGGCTCCTGGGTCCTGTGGGTGTGGGACCACCACCAGTCTAGTCTCGGTGTGGGGTTTGTGGCAGGCAGGAGGGGGGCCCTGGGTCAGCGGAACGATCTGCCACGAGTGTATGACCTGGGTAGTTGTGGGATCGATTGGTGGAGCCTTTGACATCCTTTTGAAAAGGAAAAGAAAGCAGAGTGGCTTTTGATATTTCAGTGGAGTTCAGGAAAACGGAGCGTTGTGTCTTTGGGATCTTAGAACGTTTACCTGACTGCCAGTTCAGGTTACTGTTTCAAGTCTCTGAACAGCAGGAGGATGAAGTGTCTGTTCTAACTTGTGCAGCGAAAATGAGTTTTTAATTACTTCTGCCAACCTCTGAACTGCCAGTGTTGGAGGCATTTGGTATGGTGTGAGGTTCTACCTGTAGGAATGGGTGATAGGTTTTCATGTGGTTTTGTTTTTTGTTTTGGAGAGGAGTGTGTGGATGAAGTTGAGGGGGGAGGTCTGACGATCATGGCTCTTGGAGAAACTTAGACTTATGAGTAAAAGTTACTTAGAAGGGGCTGAGGAGTTTGTAGTATTAAATTTTTTTTGTGTGGAGGAGTTCATCGAATGTATACAGCTTCGGAAGGCAGAAAGGAACGTCCTTTAGCTCGCTTCTCCAGCTAGTAGAGGTCCTCGATTTTTCTGTTATATATTTAATCCGCCAACATTTCTCCATCCTTGTCTCGGTCCCAGGTATCGAGAAAGTCTGTTTTGCTGGGTTCAGGCAGTGGTGGCTCTGAGTGACTGTTACTGTGGTCCTGTTAGAAGTTACCTTGTGCGATTTAACGCTGAGCAAATGACCACTGCTTTCTGGAGTGGGAGGAAGCAGTGGAGCTGATACAGAGGGCAAGCTGCAGTATTTCCACACCTTGCGTGAGACGCTTGCCTGATGACTAGCAGAGCTGGCAGTTGAGATGATTTCTTCTGTGCTGATTGTGATGGGACCAGGAGCACTGGACTGTGAGTCAGACCTTGGTTCTGGTTCTTGCTTTACCCTTCACGTCAAGCCGGTTCGCCTCCCCGGACCTTAGGTTCCTGATCTTTAAAATGAAGGGGTTGGAGAAGACGATGTCTAAGGCCTTTTGTTAATACCAACGACTACTCCGTGTTTGTACAGGGCTTTACAAGTTGACAGAAGACTTGGATGTCTGTCCTCATTTAATGCAAAGTGTTGGAGTGACTGTACAGAATTGTGGAGGGAGACTAGACAGGGATTTCTAGGCCAGCCTTCTCCCTCCTATTCTTGACTGATCAGGTGTTTCTCTGAGGAGGGCTCTCTATTTCAGTGTGAAAAGTTGTCCAAAATCTCTCCTTTAGCTAATTGGTACTCCTCTTTGGGTATATGGGGGAAGGAGTGGTTCTTGCATAAGAATACTTTGTAGGTGTGTCCGGTTGGGGGTGGGGGTGAGATGGGAATGGGGGTGTGGGCTCTGGGATTAAGAACCTGTAGGTTCCTTTTAAGGGGCCCTGGTGTCACAGTGGTTAAAAGCGCTCAGCTGCTAACCAGAAGGTCAGCAGTTCGAACCTACCAGCCGCTCCGTGGGAGAAAGATGTGGCAGTCTTTTTCCATAAAGATTTACAATCTTGGAAATCCTGTGGGGCAGTTCTTTTCTGTCCTATAGGATCTCTCTGAGTCGGAATGGACTCGATGGCCGTGGGTAGTGGGGTAAGTTCCTTTTATTGCCAGAGTCATCTAGGTTGCTGTGCACATGAATCATGTTTTGACTTTGATAATTTAACCTTTTTATGATGTGCAGCCATTTTGGTTTGGGATGGTAAAAGGAAAACGGATGAGACAGGCATGGATTTTCATCCAGATCCCTACCATCCAGTCTGGGTAACCACGAGTGGATTTTAAGCTCTCCTAACTTCAGGTGCCCCATGTGTAAAGTGGGGGATAAAATAACCTACCTTATGGTACTGTAGTACCAAAATCTATTGCCCCTCAGTTGATTTAGACTCTTAGTGAGCCTATAGGACAGAGTAGATCTGCCCCAGAGGGTTTCCAAGGCTGTCATCTTTATGAGAGCAGGCTGCCACGTCTTTCTCCCATGGAGCACCTCGTGGGTTTGAACCGCTGACCTTTCTGTGAGCAACTGAGTGCTTAACCACTGTACCACCAGGGCTCCTTATAGTACCGTGGCAGTCATGATCAATATCATGGGTGCGAGATATCTAGTGCATAATAAGTGCTTGATAGATAGGACCTATTACTCTTATTACAAATGGTTGGCTTGCCAGAAGAGGTTGGATTGGTTTTGTTTTCTAGGCTGCCTTTGCCCAGCGAAGGCTGGTAAGGTGGGATGGAGTCTTTGGAGACCTTGGTACTATTAGCACTGTGCGTTGTGCATTTGCTGTTGGGTACACGAGCAATAATTAGTAACTTGATCTTATTTTATTTTTTGACTTGCAGCGTATTTTGGGACCTTTACTGTGCAGCTCCTGAAAGGCGAGACACTTGTGAACATTCAAGTGAAGCAAAAGCATTTCATGATTACGTGAGTAACAAATTTTTAATCCTGGCAATAATTGCAGGGTTGCATATCTCTAACTTGTTTAGTTCCCAAAGTAAATACACAGCCAGTTGGCAGTGGTCTTTATCTTTTTCCTTGCCTTTCTTTCTATTCTCCTGCCTGCCTCCCCCTGCCCTTGCCACCATTGCCCTCCTCCAGCAGGGTTCTAACTTGGTGAACGGTGTTTCATAAGGTTGTAATTATGCAAAAGAGTTCAGGTATTTATCTGGAGGATTATAATGGCGTTGTGCAGGGCTCCGAACCATGTGAGGTTTATGTTAGGAGTGGACAGTTAGCTGAGAGAAGACGGAGCCCTTTGGTGTTGGTTTGTTTAAGAAAAAATGGCTACAACCAAAAAATAAAACAAAATATGAAACTCGTGTTTGGAAGTAGGAAGGTTGAGTGAAAATTTGGTGAAGTGGACTCTGTTCTGCTTTCCGAGAGGATCAGTCTTTCAAATTATGTTTTGTTGGGGAAAATGTGGGCATATGGGAGAGAGGCGGCTCATGCTGTGTTCTCTACGACAATATAGTTTGAGATCCTTGACTGGTCCATAACGTTATGCCCAAAATATTCTTGTGAAGATAGTTAATTTCATTATTGTGCTTTCTGCCCTATCTTTCGTACTCTGTCTTGGTGAGTTTCTTAAGACTGATAAATGATTACAAGAGAGATGCCTGTCTTTTATTATCCCATTTCCCACAGTAGGTCCACTCCCTGCCCCCCTGCTTAGGGAAAAAAAAAAAAAAAAAAAATTGGACTCCAAACCTCGTTTTGTCTAGCTGGGGATTGCAGTCAGACTTGAGCTGATGAAGCAGGTTAGGATCTGTCTGAGAGAGATGGATAGGGATGTGTCTGAAGGTTTTCCATGGCCCTGTCCAGTCCTTGCTTCTTGTTGGCCCTGTACGTGGTTATTTATGTGTGTGTGTCCTTGTGCACGTAGGAGGTGATCTATTTGGTCTTGCTGTGTGCGTGAGGTGGGTAGGAATAAACTCATGCTCTAGGCATGGAAGTTGGTTACTTGAATGTCATCAGGTCCAGCGCACTCGGCCAGGCCACAAGTGTCCCCTGCATGCAGAGTTTGGAACTAGCCTTGGTGTCCAGAACCCATCTGGTTTAGTTTCACAGGTGGTCACATCCCATTACCATGAACAGCTTCGGGGTGAGAGTTACTCCTGTAATGCGAAGGATTAGAGACTTAGCTGGAGGCTCACTGGTTTTAAGAATATTCGGTGTGATGAAAGTTTGCTATGACTGAACAGTTAATGCCTTTGGAGTGGAATTCTGAGGAAGTTGACCAGTTCTTGTGCTCTCTCCAGGGTTTAAAAGGAGAAGCTGGTGAATGATACTTATGGCCTGGTAAACTTTTAGTAGTAAAAGGCAGAGGTGATTGTTCACTTGCGATGTGGTTCTTCTGGGAACATCCCGTGGAGCTAACTGGTGGTGATAATCATAGGGTTTCCAGAGCTAGAGGTTGGGGGAGGCTAAGGGGTATATTAGCCAAATAAAAATAGTTGGTTAATATGAACTTTAATCTATTAAAAAATCCTTTTCTTTTTTAAACCTATGAACAGACAACTCCTTTATAGTCATTCTTTTACTACTGTGCAGATGGTTTCATTTTAGAGGGCTGGGATGGGTGGACATGTCTCTTTCAAGTAAGTGTCTTGATATAGGACATCTGGTATTGTTTCCAGGGTACCTTTCATAGAAGTTAGTGAGTTTTAACGAAGCTTGGTGCTCTAGTAAACAATGTGACTCCCTTTGACAATTTGTGATTTGGTCTGCCATCTTGAAACAATATCCAGAAAACCAAATCTGTTGCCATTGAGTCGATTCCAACTCATAGTGACCCTATAATACAGAGTAGAACTACCCCATAGGGTTTCCAAGAAGCGGCTGGTAGATTCACACCTTTTGGTTAGCAGCCACATGCTTAACCACTGCACCACCAGGGCTCCTGAAATGATGCAGTGGCAGTGAAAGTTTATACATGGATTTGTTTTCAGTAATTTTGTTAAGGAATGGCAGCAGGATTATGTAGAAATTGCTGAGGTTGGTATTGACATTTAGAAGGTGCTACCAAGAGATGAGGTCACACCGAGGGCCAGGGTTCAAAGGTTTGGGGACCCAAGCCTTCTTTCCTGGATTGAGATCTCCTTGGTGTCATGTGGCCTGAGAGTGAGGTCATGTGGTAGGAGGGTTCGAGGGATAAATGCGGTGAGAAGGAGTTCAACGGGAGTTAAGGAGTCAGAGGGGTGGTAGCAGAGAAGCAACTAGAAAATTAGGGTGTATTTCCCTTGGGAAAAGGAGCTACCTTTTCTCTTGTCCTTAAATCTTCATCTGTTCTTTCCATTCCCTGGGCTACTATTTAGTTAGCCCTTATTCCTTCTTGCTAGAATTAATACAGTGGCCTCTTCCTGGTCTCCCTTCCTCTTGCCTGCAGTGCATTAATATCTCATTCATTCAGATTCTCTAGTTTTCTGCACACTGTAATCACTGCTTCATCCCAACGTCTATAAAAACCACTATTCAAAGCATCTGTTGGAGGCTTTGCATGTGCCAGGCCACTATGCTAAGTTCAATACCTCATTTCATCCATCATTTATTCTACCTGTGAGAGTAGGCGCGTTGTTAACTCCGTTTTGCAGATGACAAAACTGAGGCACAGAGGTTAATTCACAGCTGGTAAGTGGTAGAGTTAGGATCCAAATACAAGTCATGACTGACTTCAGAATTGAGCTCCTAACACAGCTGTGACTCAGCCCCACAGGTCCATGGCAAGTATCATTTGTTCGCACCTATACTAACTTCTCATTCAAATCTGTCTTTTCTAGCCACCCTAACCTCAGCTTATTAATTTTTTCCATGGCAGAGGCCATGCACTCTTCTTCTCTGTAGCTCCCATAATACCTTGCACATAGTAGGCGCTAACACGAATTGATTGAAGGAGTTAAGAACTGTGGGTGAGAAAAAATAGGTAATTTGGGGTCAGTGCGTAACCTGGGCTGGAACAACTCATGGAATTTTGGAAGATGCTCTTTTGGTGACTTAATTTTTGCTGGGTGATCTTGAGCAAGGTGTCTTTAATGTGGCTTAGCTAGTTGCCTTGGGATCCCTGGGTTGCACAAACAGTTAAGTACTTTTGACTGCTAGCTGAAAGGTTAGCCAAGTGCTTAACCACTGCACCACCAGGGCTCCTCAGAAAACAAAGTGGAGTGTGAATAAAAAATGTGCATTAACTGGCCTTCTGTTTTCTATCAGGGAGATTCAAAGATTCTCCAGGTCTGGGAAAGACTGTATAGCCCAGGTACCAGACACGGCCCTTGGCGGATATAAGTGCTGACAAGGGTAGGGGAGTGAGGATTCCTTGACTCCTGTGGGATTGAAAAGAACTTCCAAAGCAGAGCCTGTCCTCACCTCTCTCAAATTAGAGGATGATTCTGTGATCTGGCACATCATCACACCTCCCAGGTAGCTGGGTCAGGTGATTTCAGAAGCCCCTCCCAGGTCAACACCGGGTTGTGGGGCCCTGGAATGAGCCAGGTGACTCAGCGGGAGAGGAGAAGAGTTAGTTTTCTTTGAATTGGTGAGTTTTTATCTGAGTCACAGTCCATTTTCCCCCTCACACCTGGCAACTTCAGTGTTCTTGGCTCCTTGTTTGTAAGCCCCAGAGCCCTGCTGTTGACCACATATAACGTGGAAAATTGGGGGGATTCAGTATTGAGGGTGGACTTTTCTGAGAAATTGGTTTGCATTACATCAGAAGGGCCCTGTGGCCTTGGAAGGACCGCCCACAGGGTCCCTGCTGTGGTTTCCTTGCTATTCTCTTCAGGCCATGGAAATGTTGACTAAAGTCCTTGGGGTCCCATTGGAGGTCTCTTTGGGTTCTGTTAGACACTGTTGTCTGGGTCCTGGCCTTTGTAGATAGGCAGTCCCAACTAGATGAGCCCTGACCCTTCCTTCTGGGAGCAATAAATGATTTATTTAAGATTTGGTGTCACCGGTACATCAGTGCCTCCTACATGGGCCCAGTAGTGCCCTGGCCACCTTCTCCACTTCCATCTCCTCCAGGGTTTGAGGGGTTAATAGAAGGGTCTTTTGTGCCTTCTGAAACTACCAGCAATGCTTTTCCTCCTTGTGATAGCTAATTTTGTGTTTTCCTTTTGGTGTCAGGAATGAGTGGAGTAGCTAAGGCCCTGAGGTGGCTTTTGAGCTGTAGGTGCTAGAGAATAGTGATTGTTCTTTGCACTGCCCATGTTGACTTACAGCTGCCTTGTTGGTCAGGTTTTGTTATTACTCCCATTTTACAGATGAGGAAGTTGAGGCCTGAAGTTTAGATGGCTTGTCCAAGGGCGTGTAGCCAGGAGGTGGTAGAGCTGGGACTAGACCTCTGTCATTTAGTTTCCAGCTCTCAGCTTTTGACACACTTGTTTGAGAAACAAGCCCTGTGAAACAGAGAGGGAGAATATTTGCATCTGACCTGAAGTGTGCCGGGTACCTGGTCAGTGCCCCATATGTATTTAAGAAATAAGTGAGTTCAGCACAGAGTTAAACTGAAGTCTCTGAGAGATGAATGACAGCGTCACTGGAGGAGGTGAGGCCTGAACTCCAGGAAGGGAGTTATGTTATGGTGCAATGGTGTGATGAAAGCTGTGGACCTATCTTTCAGAAAACGAATGTGTCCCCATAAAGGAGACTTTGTATATGATTTCTGCTGCCCACGTCCCAAGCCCTTCTGTGATCCCAGGTTAAGAACTTGGGGAGCGTCATGAGCAGGGAGTCTCGTGACCTTAGTGAGTCTTGAGCCTCAGTTTCCCTGATCTGAGGACCTGAGGTCCCTTTCAGCTCTGCTGTTCTGAACCTCTGACTCAGTAGGCTGCCTGTCTTACCCCTGTGCTTTTACCCAGCAGGACTCTGCTGACCTCGCCCCCCACCCCGACCCCAGCTGTGAGACTTTGTCTTTAGGAGGCTGGGTCAGAGTA